ACATTTTTATGTTTATACATTTTTTATAGATACAACTATTTAAGTAAATGCTCTGTTTATAATAAACAGTATTAACAACATTTACCGGCCTGAATGTCCGAGAAATTGTCATACAAAATATGCGTACTCCGACAGAAATCGAGCCTGTATCCTATACGGAACCGTCATATAGCCTGACGTGCTTTTACTGATTTCGCTAACGAGGAGTGTTCGGTTAGCAAGGTCGATTTTACTGTTTGTAAACTACAATCTGCCATGATTCTCTCACGTACATTCATATCTGCTCAATGCGTATCCAAATGTAAACGAATGACGTCACACATTATGAAATGGACAAAGTCCGACATTTTAAGGCATTTTCATGTTTATACATTCTTTTTTTTATAGATACAAACATTTAAGTAAATTCTCTGTTTATAATAAATATGTATCTATCTATCTATCTATCTATCTATCTATCTATCTATCTATGTTGAGAGACTTCCTATCACACTGTGTATCATTTCTCTGTTATCAGTTCTTCCAATATGTGTGGCTGCTTCTACACAAGACTTCACCACTCGAACCAAAATCATCTGCGTGGCTAGTCTAGCGGTTCAGTTCTAAAGCTGTACTATTAAGTTTTCTTATGTCGAAATCGACGGGAGAATCCATTGTATATGTCCAAGACTTTTCATAAATATTTGAACAAAGAGACATTTGCGTCTTATTCATTGGCTTCGAGAGTTAAAAAGGGGTCATTACACAAGAAAAATCAATTTCAATGCAAGCTAAATAACTAGGCATGCATTTGATAATGTGCTTTGATTCTGAATGCTCCATTTCAGGAAAAAAACGTTGTTTTTCAATAGTATTGAATAGTTAGGTGAAAAAATTAAATTATTTTACTATACTTCTAAAATCTCTTTCAGAATCAAACAGCATACACGTAATGGATTTTTGTTTGTCCAACTTGTGAGACATCAACATATAATGGATCATATGAAATATAGGAATAGTTCAATTGTAATCCATCCACCTTTAACAGTTTCACTTGAGATTTGTTGATATACATGGCAAAAGATATCCTGACTATGAACTGTCAGTGGGAATAATTGGAATTCTTGAAATGAATACATCCTCCCTAGCATTACAGCTTGTCAGTATTGCCGTATCAATCAGATATGGCATCTACTGTTTGGCTACCAGTCTTTTTATGCTCGCGCAAGATTGGAGCGTCCATATTCCTAAGAAGAATAATTGGTGATCTATTCACTTTTTTTTTTTTTACTAATGTTCATCGTATAAAAAGCCCAAGGTCTACTCAAGGTAGAGGGTTGCTGAAAGCGGTTGTTGTGTGAGCGGTAAGAGTAAAGGGCACATACTTTGTGGTTTTGAGGGAAAGATAGCGTTTAACTAAGATTGTAGTAGTCGGGAAAACATTCTGCTGGGATTCTATTCTACAAAGCAACAGTTCTTGCGAAGAACTTATTCGAATGGAACTTGTTCCTTACTAAAGGAATACGAAGGGAATGCGAGTGATTCGTCTTGATGTGCATGGCATGCTTGGTCTTAGTTAGGAGGGTTATAGTTGAGGGAACTAAGGAATAAAGATCGTTCTAAAATTTTCCATAGAAATTGCGGTAGAGTAACGACAGGCTTGCAACGTTTAGTATGTAGAAAAAGGGATGTATGATGGAAGACAGTTAATCGCCCAGAAGGCCGCGTAGACGCTTTTGGATTTTATCAAGATTGGAAAGTAAAGCAGCGTTGATGTGGCAACAGTTCACTATTTTCGGCCTGTTCTGACTTGTGTAAAGATAGAACATATCGGGAGGAGTCAGGTACTTACTGGAGCGGTACAGGGAACCGATCATTTTTCCGGCATCTTTAGCGATGGATCGTATATACGAATTACACTAGGAGTTCAAGTCGTTCAAGGCAACGGGGCCTCCTTGAGACAATACACGTTCATTGCGATAAACCGAAATTCAGAGTCACTTAGTGATGATGGAACGTTACAAGTTTGACTTTTGAGGTTCATTAGTATGTGCTTGTGAAGAGGCATCTGAAGTTGCTCCAGTATGGTAAGAATGTTGTTAGGATAATTCAAAGTTTAGTATGGATCTGCGATTTTGTCAACAGACCTGTATACCTCTCCATTTCAATGTGGGTGTTGAATAATTGGTACTGGTAACGGTGGAATTTTTTAAAGGAATTTTTGCTCATTCACATAGTCACAGGTTATTGTGGAAGTTCTGTTGAATATTTAATAAGCAATTAATGTTGAACTAATATGATAAAGCGTCTATTCTCATTGGGGTCTCAATAATTTCGGCCTTGTGCCACATCTAAGCTACCCTTAGAAAATCATATGTTGGACATTTCGACGTGGTATAATAGCAAGTTTGTCTCGCTAGATCAATTACAACTAAATAGTTCTAATTCTCACTGGGTGTCTCATAGTTCCAGCCTAGTGTCACATCTAAGCTACGCTTAGAAAATAATCTGAGGGAGACGTAGAGCTAATGTTACCAGTTATGAATCTTTCTTCCCTAACTTCCAACAAAAACAGCTGAGTCTTGGAGATTCGATAGGTGATCTGCCATGTTTATTTCCAGTTTTAATTTCAAGACATGTCTCCACAAGTCTGATAATTCCAAGCAGCTTCTGATTAGATTAAACTTTGTTGCTTTTGAAATCTCTGGAAATATTTGGCGAAAGCCAAAACTATTGTTATTCCGCTAAAAGGAGAGATTTGCTCCTTATATCTTCACAAGTAAGATCTAGAGTTTTAAAAGCAACTTTGTTGAAATATCGTGCACACGTTTCATATTATCAGCTGACCCTGTTGTAACAATTCCACTGCTCTATTCAACATCAAAAGCCAACACAAATTTGTGAAAGAATAGTAATAGCTTTTTCTTAATTTCTAAAAATTATTGAATGAATTTAACTTTTCGATAAAATATTGAAAATGATTTTAAATGTTAAAAACGATGTATACTTTTTAATAATGGAAAAATCGCTAAATTTCAAAGTTGTGGTTATTTTATGTAAAACTTGATTTTTATTATGTTAATTTGTTAATCCAAGGAAATAGATTAAGATCATAGATTTTTATTTATGTAAAAGTTCACATTATTTAAACATTTATTTAAATTATTTTTTTATAAATTTTATTTTTATTATATTAATGTAATTATTTTATAATATTATAATTTTATATGTTTTATAAACTTAGTATATCTTATAAATATTTTTAATAAAAATAAATTTAATAAAATATTTAATAAATTTAAATAAAATGAATTTATATTTAATCAATTTAATATCATTTTTATAAACCTTTAATAACTATTTTTTATTTTTATAAATATTTATAAATAAATATTTATTTATTAATTATTAATTATTTATACATTTTATTATTTATTAAGAAATTAATCAAACATTTAATTAATTATTTAAATTTTTTTAATGTAAAATTTAACATTATTATATTATTCTGTTAATCTGTTGATCCGATGAAATAAATTAAACCATATGCTTTTATTTTATGAACAATACTTAAAAATATTTAAAAAATACATTTCAGAAATGAAATTTTCGATTGATTAGATTTTCCAAATATACTGATCAAAATAATTCAATATTGCTCACTCCGTTTTATATACAACCAAGTTCTGGTGCGAAATTCTCGAGGTTATTTCCCATTTTTGTTCTTTCTTGTCTTAAAGACAGAACACTACAACCACTTGACTGAATCCCTTTTGCATGTGAAGATTATCCTTACTTTTTTTTTCCTTATTACTGTTGCTTTGCCTAGTTTGACTTGCATATATATTGTTTGCTTAGGGCACCTCGAGGTGGTATAAAGATTGTCTCGCTAGAACAAGTGCGACTAAGTAGTGAGTTCGATCGTCACAGGGTATCCCATTCTTTTGGCTTTGTGCCACATCTAAGCTACGCTTGGATAATCCCTATATAGTTGGTTTGCTTAGTATCATTTTGCTGTTCTTTTTCTGCCTTTTATTGTCTATTGGAAACTATGTGAATTCCGTTTGTTAAGAATTTTGCCAATTACACTTAAGAAGGGTACATATTTGCGCAGGTTATGAGCCCAGAATTAGACTCTGTTTCAACGGTGACATATCCAAATATTTATTATGGGAAGTAAATTTTTTCCACAGGTTATGAGCCCAGAATTAGACTCTGTTTCAACGGTGACATATCCAAATATTTATCATGGGAAGTAAAATTTTTCCACAGGTTATGAGCCCAGAATTAGACTCTTTTTCAACGGTGACAAGTATATCCAAGTATTAATTATGGGAAGTAAAATTTTTATCATGCATGAGAATCACAAAATTACCATGGCACCATATGACTGTCACAGGGATAAAGATTACTGTGAAAAGAATACAAACCGTTCGCCAATTTAATTCCGTTTCTTGACGACCGACGCCTGTGACTTATGAAAGAAGACCCTGAAAATAGTGGAAAGGCAATGCCAAATTTGAGAGAACACAACTTATCAAAAGGAAAACCGAAAATAATTTCCCTCTATACTGAATTCATGTTCTTATGAAAAGCAAGTAGTGAAAATATTACGGATAATATTATTAGTGCTGCGAATGCTGCAACTTTATTTAAAAACAGCAGAAGTGACAAAGCGATAACCATGGTCATGAAAGGCTTTCTGTGCGAATTTAACCGTTCATAACTTATTATTCCACGCATTTCAAGAATGCAAACCGGAATTATTTCGAAGACAGTTTGACGTAATAATGTGCACACCCTTTAACTGATAGGCATATATATATATATATATATATATATATATATATATATATATATATATGTGTGTGTGTGTGTAAGGGTAATGAAAGCAAAAAGTCAAAAAGATACTTACACCAATGTGAACGCGTGATTTCCATATTAGTGGAGCACATTCACTTTCTCTATCTCTCGTTTAATCTCTCTCCCCACTTCTCTCTCTTTCTCACAGACACACAGGCTTACGGCCATATCACGTTGAAATACCGGTCCTCGTACAATCACCACAATTAAGCAATGTTGAGCTTGGTCAGTACCTAGATGGGTGACCTCTTGGGAATACCAAGTGCTGTAAATTTGGATGTGCGGGTGGTGTAATGAGTAATGGCTCGGAATGGAAATCTGAGAGCCGGGTTTTAATTCCAGTATGATTTTTTATTAATTTACGCGCAAATATTCTTGGGAAATGTATGCATTCACTTCATCTTCTCCTAGCTATGGGTTAATTAGTAGATCTTGTATCAGTAAATCGTTATTATCGCCCCGCCCCAAATTCTTACAATCTAAAAATATTTTCTGGCTTTAAATAAGTTGCAAAAGGTTGATAAGCCGTAAAAACAAATCAATCACGCACATACATACTTAGATGCATCAACAAAAAACAAACCCAATAATGAAAAAGTATTTTACACAACAATTATTCTTTTTCAGCATAAAATCTTTATTTTTCAACGTTAATTATTCAGTAGTGAATATTAATTACAAAGAATCGAATATTATACAGTGAAAATTTCAGATCAAAATTTAGCTAATAACTATGTATGAGGCTATGGACTTACTGATCTCCTTTCGTGTAATACAGAACAGAAACTATTTTCTGTATTTAATTTATTACCAAAAAACAAAATTTTCCTTTTTAAGAACAATTAAAAGAAATTTAGTAATTTTTTTTTATAGAAACAGTCTATAGTGAACAGAGAACAAAAATGTATATTTTATCCTTTTTTCTTCCTTCCTTACCTAAATCAAAATCTGTAAATAACTCCGTCGTGACGTGATGAGGAAATGAATCAAAGAAAAACTGCAAAAAGAAGGACATCAGAAAGGAGAGGAACCCGAAAAATGGATTATAACAAAATCGGCCAACTAAGAAATAACATCAGGATTTACTGCGCGAGCCCATATAAAAGAATGTAATATCGAGCCCCAGGAGTTTAGCTGGTTAGTTGGTCAGCGACCGAAGTTTATTATCCCAGAGATCATATCAGGGTTTCCCAATAGTATGTTAGTGAAATATACTAATGCTTCCTAACCACTTTTTGGTGGGTGAATAAAACCATTTGCATCTTTACTCTGTGTGCAAAAGCCCTAAATAAACATTCATTTCGTATGAATGTGTTCGTTATTGAACCCCTCCCCCTTCAGTTTTTAGCTTCAGCCGTCAACCACCAATGAGAGAAACCAGTATATAAATCAACCGCATATAAATAAAGCCGACCCTTTCAGATCACTGTGACTACTACCACGTGCTACTAAAACGTTCCAAAGCCATGAACATTCATATGCGACCTGCCTCAAAACATTTTTTCATATCATAAATTTAATACCATATACCATTCCAACTATCAGCTTATTAGCCTTCTACCTATTTTTAGGAAACTTCTAGAAACCTTAATCCAAGGGTGGCCAACGTTTTGATTCCATGCGCCAATATTTTGTACGATTAATTTAAATGCGTCACACAAATATTCACTTCCTTTCAGTACGTGTTGTAATATGGACATATTTTAAGGGTATAATAAAATCTATTTATTTGAAAAATAGATGCTTATGACCAGGGGCGTATCCAGGAGTTTTGAAAGGTGGGGGGGCATCAATCAATGCTTTTGCAGAGGGGGGGGCATGGCAGAGTTTATAATGTTTACATCGGCAAAATTAAAAATATAACTAACTTTAATGTGCCTTTTGATTCTGCTTTGTTTTCGCCAAACCAGCAATATTAGGAGTTAAATTCGTAACTGAAAGCAAAATTCTTCAAGTTGGAATCGGACAGTCGCGACCTTTTCATCAAAAGGATGCAATGCCCCACTTGTAAGCATCCAATGCGCCACTTATGGCGCATGCACCACAGGTTGGCCATCCTTGCCTTAATCAATAGTGAGTTGGTTCAGTATCTCTCATCGCAGAGCCTTTTCTCAGACAAGCAATATGGCTTTCTTTTCTCCAGGTCTTCACAAGCTGAGCAGTTGAGCAGTTACGGTGTTTTCGGCGAAATCTTTGAACTGATATAGTCTTTCTTATCGAATCGTGAAATGAAAGTCATCCTGAACGGTCGCTCTTCCAGTTCCTTTTTTTTTTTTTACTAATGCAGATGTCCCAAGGGCACCATCCTTGGCCCTACTTTGTTTTTGATTTTCATTAATGACCTTCTCGATAAGCATCAGCTCTCAACTTAGTAACTACGTTGATGACAAAACCATTTACTCCTGTCTCAATAATAAGTCTTGGCAGTTTGATATGGCCAAAATGACTGCTGATATCCCAAACTACCTGCAGTCTTTTGTTAACTGGGGCAAACGTATGGCTTGTTAATTTTAACGGCACCAAAACTAAACTGCTTTCTGTTAATCCTATAAGAACCCCACCTCTGCCTTCCATCAGTATGGCTGATTCTGACCTTTAGAAGAGCGACTCGTTGCGTCTTCTTGGACTAACGTTCTCGGCTGATATGAAGTGGAAAATATATTGAATCTTTTGCTAGGTCAGCTGATGGGAAAGTTGGTTTGCTTTCTTTTCTCTACAATCTATCTATATCTCTACAATTTGTCCATGCTTAGAATATTGCTGCCACATATGGTTCGGTGATCCTGCTATTTATCTAGAGCTTCTTGATAAAATCTAAAAAAGAATCAGCAATATTATTGGCCTTGATATGGCGTCACGGCTTCAGTCACTTACCCACCGTCGTAAGGTTACCACCCTTTGCCTTTTCTATAAATATTTTCATCGTAATTATCCGGATGAACTCTTCGATACAGTATATTCATTGGGATTTAGATTTTTAAATTGTTATTTTATACCCCGGCCACAGACAATGAATTGTACATATGAGGACAAATTAGGACTTTCATAGAGACAATGAGGTATTATGGTGAATGTAGTAAGAAAGGTAAGTAAGAATGCGTTGTTTTGGTGCAACGAATATTTTGGTATGTTTGGATCAGTGTTTGTGGCTAGCTAAGTTTAATGTTAAGACATATGAAACATATCCCCTTTTTTGGCCTTAACCCACATTCTGCATTTTTACAAATAAATTTCGCTCTTCGATAGGGTGGTTAGACTCATTGGATTTAAGCATAGTACTCGACTGGCAACGAGGTCTTTGCAATTTACAGTTGAATTGACTAGATGTAACCGTAAGTTCTATGCTAACAGTTTCTTTTCTAGCACTTCTCGCTTGTGGAATTCCCTTCTGGCTCCATGTTTTCCAATAAAATTTAGTTTTCAAAAATTTAAATTCAATGTTAATCTCTATCTACTGTCCTCCTGATTACTTTTCCATTGTTCTCGCTCTTTAACAATGTTCCTGTTTCTAATTCTTCCACACCCTGTAACCCATTGTGTCTCAGTGGCTTTATTGCCTTGAACTCGATTAAAAAATACTCCAATTCTTAATTATCATTGCCGTTTGAAGTATTTGTAGACTTTAGCATAGCGTGGTTTCACCGGTAAATGTGTGTAAACAATATGAACGTTGGTATCTTAGAAAATAACGGACAGCCTTCATTACCTTCTTGTATAACATATCATTATACTCTGTTTACGTTATTTTTGGTGAGTCACGTCCTGTTTTTAGGAATTTCAATTTGTGCCGTTTATAAAAGGCTGTTCACAGTGGAGATTTTTTCCTGAATGACTGTGAGTTAGAAATGACCAATATCTTTGCTATAATCCCGCTGGGACAATTAAACACCTCGGGGAATCAAATAAGCAAACGGGATTAGTAGAAATATATTTGATTTGATTGTAGCGTTTCAGGAAGATTTGCCTCCAATATGCGGGTGCCTCGTTTAAATGGCGATCTGATTAACAGACAGAAGCCTGCGGTTTGTGAAGTGCATTAACGGAATTCTTTGATGTAATCTCTCGTTACACTAATCGTTTGTTGAACATTCTTGTAATTGCACTGGGAGCTGAGGGGTGGCGGCAAAGCGATGCTTAGCCAATTGTTCCAAAACAGGTGTAAAAAAAAAAAAACAAAACAAAACAAAAAAACGATTTTCCTATGCGATTTATATTGTTTTAAAATAACCTCCCAATCAAAAAGAATGATTTCTTTTCAAACGGCGGCAAGCAACTATTCCCTCGTAATTCGCTCATTATTTCTATGTGGTTAACAGGAAAAGAAAATTGAGGAATTTTATGGTTTACAATAATTACGCAAACATGCGTACAATTTCAAACGCGACCTGACGTTCCTTCCACATGTAAACACAAACATAAAAGTGATTCTTTTTCTTGTTCACTGTCACTCGCCCCATCTCAGATTTTATTCTTGTTCTACGTGCCGTGTCTCTTCAGAACGCTGACGATCACGGTTCTCCACAATTTCCTTCAACTTTTAGCTCTTAACAAATTTTCTCTTTTTGTTATCTTTACTAAGCCTTGTTCCGCCACCCATTTAACCAAAGGTCGTTAGGTGATATTTGTTTAGTTTTTCTTTGCCACTTTTGTCTTCAATTTGATTGACTGATTGATTCGTTTTCTACGATTTACCAACCCTTTGCAGGTTATTTAAAGCCAGAAAATATTTTTAGATTCTAAGAACCTTTTGAAGATAACATGTGGTTTGGATTGGTTTACAGCATACCAACTTCTTATTCAATGCCTAAATTTAATTCTCTTGGGGGCATTTCTTTTTTTACAAAAATGTATAGCTGGTAATTATTTCACTATGAATATATATTGCTGGTATTTTTAATATAAAAATGTATTTGTATACTTACATAACGTTTTAATTTTGTTTGCAGGGTTCCCTGTTTGCTCATAGCTGGGGCCCTAACAGATACTATCACCTCGGGACAGAAAGATAATTGCATTTTACCACCGGGGCCTAAGTTTGTACAATGTAAACAGGGTTTATCCAACTTGGCACTTTGGCGTAATATAATCTTCTTACGATCATATTTCCTAATCTTGTTTTACGCCGTGATAAGTTAAACTTCATAAATATCGATATTGGCAATTAAAAATAAATTAATTGATTCAAAGGAAAAATTACGAATAATGATTTTCTAGACGAATATGAAAAGCCTTCCGACTTTGACATAAAATGATTTTCCACGTTAAATTATC